GTGGGAGCTCCAACACTCTCCTAAGTAGCTCCCCCCTGACGAGCCCTGATCAACAACAGGTGTGTGGCAGGAACTTCAGGTGTGGCCAGTCCTCCTGCAGGGCCACACCCATCGGGCCTGCATGTGGCCACACCCCCAGTAATACATGTACACACCCACACCCTGCCTATACATATAATGAGTGGAACACAGAATAACACAGCATAGTGCAGAAAAACACACATCCCCAAATAATAATAATAATAACAACAAACTGCTCACGGACCCCCGAGTCCTCCAGAGCCGGGTCCGTGACACTAAGTTTCATTCGAAGTGGCAAAAAAAGTGCCTTAAAAAGTCTTAAATCTAATATGTAGGAACCCTACTTATGATCAGATCAATCAAAAAACTTAATGAGGTGTTGTGAGACATATTTGGACACATCTCTTTTTGTAGTGTGAACTGTACTGTGCTATGATGTGTTGCCAACAAGGACATATCAGGAAAATATCTTGTTTTTTTGTTTTGGCATGTGTCACAAAAAGTCCTGACAATCTCAGCAGTTGGAATATATGTCTATTAGTGCTTAGCCCTTACTAAACAAATCTGGAGCTTGACCAGTGACAGATGGACAAAGGGCTGTGCGTGGAGGCCCTTTCACTGGAAGTGACGTAGACAGACTGAACACGAGTAGTCAGTTGGACACCTTGGACACACATGATAGACACAGGTGGAAACAGAGATATGTCTCACTTCCACTTGTGAGCTAAATGCATGAAATACAATTTTAAACTGAGTGTTTAAGGGTTTTGTATGTATCTTCAAAACACCAGTGAGTTTTATTAAATGATGATCTGGGTTTTTAAAAGATTATCAGGGGTTTATGTCTCTCAAAGACATAAACCCGTTCTGTAGGTAAGTATGGTCTCAAAAGGTGGCTAAAGCTTTACAAAATAAGATTTTAATTCTCCTTTAAGATACCCCAAGGACCCAAACAGTGTCCTTCATCCACAGCAGAAACTCACATGATTCTCACTGGGATTGGAAAACAAGTATGTTTCCAGCATGTCATCAAGCTGTGTCCCTGTATGTGTCATCTCTGTCATGGTTGGATCTCGCCTCCCAATCTGTTGATTTTTGGTAGGTTTGCTTTTGTGTTATGCAGTGGCGGTGTGTCATTTAAGATGGCATTGCCAATTCCTTCAGCCAGGGATTATCATTGGATTTCCAAATCCTCATTAGAAGCACTGCTTTCACTCACTGTCTAATCCGCGCACACACTCACACACTGTTAAATCTGGATTCACAAATGACTCATAGCTTTCATTCTTTATACAGGTGTTTCCTTCTTGCCTCCCCTCCTCAGGCTTTTGGGAGAGGGTGAGCACATTCTTGCTTCATGCTCCGAGGGATTGTGCTTAGCCTGCCCACATCATTCAGCATCTCTTCTTGCTTCAGCCCTCGCTGCCTGTCTTCCTCCACCTTTATTTGTCACATCTAGCCCACTCACTCTTTTGCCTCACATTCTTCCATGTGCAGCATAATCCCCTCTGTACTGTACTAAATCTAATGGTTCACATGTTTGTGATCCCGCTCGATGAAGAGGAATGCTGCTCGTTTGAATTCAGATGGACGCTGACGGAATCAGAGTGATTGCCATTTTGTTTCGTGACATTTGTGCCGCCCGATATTCGGTTCGTGTTAGCTCATTTCTGTTCGGCGGAGGGTTGTTTAGTCTTTTTACTTTGTCATTTACTGCCAGCACAAAAGCTACAATCAAAATTGCTTTGAATTTGAGAGTTTCCCTTTCTTTTACATATTGTACTTTATTGTAACATACTAAATATGTCTTGAAACGTTACACGCCGCACCGTTATAGATGCATTGCCATGCCATGTGAGCTGGTTCTTTTGGTCCTAAATTTTGGCTTCTTCTAAAATCTGTCCCACAGAAAAGGAAAGCACATTCTTAGGTTGTGCCTGTGGAGAATTTCAATCTAACTCATGGAAATTTGTTTCCCTGTTTTTGCTGATGACGGGATCATTTGAACAGGACTACTCGAATTAGTGGTTTTAGGCGTAATCTCTGAAGAGCAGGCAATGTCTCCAACCCTGGCAGTTCCAGCTGATAAAAGGGAGATTACAAGGATAGATTACTGCAGATTAGACTGAATGGTTCTGCCAGCACTTTAACTGCTAACGCACGACTCTCATCAGAAACGTTCACACTGCAGTGGGTTTCAAGATAACAAGCAAACATAATAACTTCCGTAACTTATTTCTTTCCCATCATTATGTTTTTTTACTTAATGGTCATTTACTGTAATTCTCGTCCGCCCGTTTTTGCACAGTGAAAAATCCTTAAGCCTCTTAATCTGTAATCCCTTTCATAATCACTTTTTTTAATGGTGAAGAGAAGTCTAAATACGAGTGCAGACTGAAGAGGAATGTATATATTTTCTATGTGAATACATTATTTTTACTCAAGCGAAAGGAAGCGCTGTGTTGTAAGCTCATAAAGTCCCCTGAAAAACAGGCTTCCTTCTGGTTTTTTCCTCCTCACTGTTATAGATTAAAGCTGGTCATTAGAAAAACCACCTGCTGGATTGAACAGGTTATTTCAGTAGTTTCACTTGAAATACTCTGGTTATTTGCATTGCGGCTCGGAAGTTAGAGCAACCATTTGAGTTTTACTGCATCTACTAATCTCTGAAGTACCATAAAGGCTATAGAGGAGAATTACTTTTGGACTGTGGATAATCTGGCTGCAGAGAGGAAGAGCACACAAGTAAATCTGTTTAGGACACTGACAAATCTGAAAGCCTATCCATCGACAAAATTCTCCCGAGCATATGGGCCTGGCGACGCCCCACCAGGCTTTTCCACTCTGCCCTGCCAAGCTAATTCAAGAGTGACTCTCCAGCAGCGATTCTATTAGCAGGCAGAACAAGAGTGCTTCCTTAAATACTCCCTCTGCACTCATTGGTCAACCTATACAGGGGGAAAAAAAGGACTTTGTAATTGCAGAGATTAAATTTTGATGGGTGAGGAGGTGACCTTTGTGGGTTTTGAGTCATGAATGGGGTTGTCGTAGAGCAGTTTCTGGGAACTACGAAATACAAACCTTTCCTCGAACTTGAAGCTGACAGATTTGCTGAAGGCGAGGGTGGTTGTAGCGCTTTGAAAAGACACACTAGCATCTGGGGAGCCTTAAAACCAATGACATTTACAGCATTAGCTCTCAAGCCTTCAACCGGCATTAAGAGTGTAAAGAGGAAAAGACAGAGGGAGGCAGTTGAAAGGAGAGAAAGGGAGGGAAAGCGAGGAATAGCAGAGAAGAAAATTGAAGGATGTTAGGAGAAGGAGAGAGGAGGTGGTGGGTGGATCTAAGACACAAACAGCATTTGACATTTGACCACTTTTCTTTTTTTTTACATGCTAATGAATTCTGCATACGTGCATATATGCAGTTTTTTACTGGTGCTAGCACGAGAGCAGCTCTTGACACTGAGGGATATTGAGGGACTGGAGTTTTACATAAGCCTGTGCATGACTACTGGTCCTCTTTGAATCATACTTACGTCTCCCATCACCATGGCTACAACCTACAGTAGTGTGGAGGCGCGCTCTGCATCTCTCTCCTGCTTTCCCCGGCGTGCCGATCCTACAGTCGTGGGTTAAAGTAAAGTAATGGGTCTTCAGGGTCTGAATCTTTTTCTTTCTTTCTTCACTGGCTTGTGGCTTTTGACAGATGGCATTTTTTGTATTTTAACAAAACAAATAAAAACGCATCAAAATCACTGTTGCGATTACGTGTTTGTTTTCAGCCTCTACTTGATGTAGAGGCTGAAGATAAAGCTGTTTTTATGACAAATGGCGACTTCCTCACGCCTTCCTTTTTGCTTTCTCACAGACGCTCCCTGTCCAAAGATGCAAAGTTTTTTGACAGTGACACAGGAGTCCTGGAGGTTCCAATGACAGTGCAAGTAGCAGGCCAGGTTTGTGTCATGTTACGCACTATACACGTATACTGCAGATAAGAGCAATGTGATCCTGAAAGCAGTGGGCTTGAACGTGTAGTGCAGTGCTAGTGTCCTACTTTGTCCTAAACAGAAGCGCAGCTAGCGAAGGTTGTAACCTATTTTGCTTGTAACAAGCTAAAATTATCTCCCGCCCCCAAGGCCCAGTTATTCCATGGACACTAATAAGCCAAGCATAAAGGTTATCCCATATAGTTTTGCTGAAACTGTCTGCAGTAGCACAAAAATGGTAAAGTAGGTTTCAGATGTATTTGTTATCCCCTTCTTTTATTATGGAGTACCTGTTGTGCGCAAAATTTGACTACCTTAAAACCTCTTGCCCAGCAGCCAAGGCAGTTGTCATCTTTCTTGATTTCATCACATACATATAGAGCAGTACACATGTTGATGTAGTACTCTGATGCTTTAGGTCAGGGGTGTCAAACATAAGGCCCGGCAGCTAGAACTGGCCCAGCAAAGAATCCAATCCAGCCCATTGCAGTGCTTTGGGAAATGTGAAGGAGGGGAGACCTCCCATATGGTAATTGATACAAAAACATTGTAATTAAGTAAAAGCAAATAAGCAAATGACAGAAAACTTTTTCATTATCTAAAAGAGAAATTTCTGTATATATTTACAGTGATTTCAGAGTAAATTAAAAAGAAAGCTTTTTGTTAATTAACTTAGGCAAAAACATGCCAGTGCTTTTTCTGTCATTTTAAACATTTATTTCTTGCAGTTTAAGTCATGCTGACAGATTTCTTTTACTGACTACATCATCTACAAAAACTAAGACATACCATTGAAATTACACTTCTTTTTCTTATATTAAATATCTCACCGATTAAACACGTAGTTAAACATCTTTCAACTTACAGAAAAAAAGTTGGTCCAACCCACTTAAGACCAAAGCAAGCTGTATGTGGCCCTCAGTGTAAAATGAGTTTAACATTTCTGCTTCAGGTTCTGCTCTGGCAGCGTGTTTGAATAAATGAATGTTGTTTGCTGGGAAATATAGTTGGTTTAGTACATGATTCTACATACTAAGACGGGGATCTCAAACTTAAATGAGCTGTGGGCCACTGCTGGCCCTGTCATCTCACTGAAGGGCCACTTTAGTGTCCAAGTAGTACAAAACAAACAAGAAAACACCCACAAATATTTCCGAACATATAGTGTTTTGTTTGTTTGTTTTTTCATTTCAAATATTGTATAATAAGACAAAACTGCAAATGTGAACACATTTTTTTTCTCACTCTTAATCAACTGAAGCCTTTCATTGAACTACCAAATAAACACATTGGTACTCTCTTTCTGGCCAGACACGTGGCAGCACTTCTGCTATAACTTTGTTCGTATTTAACAAAATAAAAACACTAACACAGCCAATCCCTCAACATGTTTGTACTCTCTGCTCATATTTCCTTCATGTTAAATAAGTTTTTGCTTTTTAAAGAACTTAATTGTAAGAACTTCAACAGCAAACAAATCCACCCTAAAAAAAAAAAAGGAACTTCATGGGCCAAATTGAATTCGATTTTTTTACATCGATATATGGGCCGCAAGTAGGGGTGACGTACTAAGATATTCATGAGCCTCAGTGATGCTCGCTACAGACAAGATGCCAGCATCTTATCTATTGCTTGTTTTTTGCAACTTAGTGTGATGCATAAGTGAGACTCAGGTGTCTGTGATTTTGATTTTAAAATCACTTAGCTGGCAGTATTTGACTGGATCTCTTGGCCTGTTTTGTCACTCTTTTGGGGGATTGTACTAAAACATTAGTTCATAAATGTATCATTATATATTCACATTAATGCAGCTACTGTTTACAAGGATATAAGTGGAAATTCTGGACCATTCCTCTCAAGAGGAAATGAAACTGCAGCTGAATTCCTTCATATCATCAGACAGTGTTTATTAAAAACACAGAGCAGCTGCTTAGACATTCGTGCTGTGCTTTTGCCAGCTTTTTTTCAGTAAATCTAAATCTGGACAGTCTACTTGCCAAATTGTCACCTTCCTCTACCTCCCCAGCCAGCGACTATTCACTGACTTTACTGGGACGTGGAGAGGAGAGGGCTGGGGCATGGAAGGGGTGTAGCTCTGACGAGAAGCCAAAGAGCGGGCCAGGATGTTCCTGTGATGCACCAAAGCTGTTGCCCCCAGCCCCTAGTCATGAGCTCCTGGCATTACACCATGAAAACACACACACATTCATACATACACCAACTGGTCACCAGACATCACAGCAGCCTGGAAATCAATGGTGCAGTAAACAAGCTCATCTGCTTTATACTGCTGGGGGGAAAAATTCACAAAACCTGACAAAATTTAACAAAATTGCCTCTTGTCTAGTACAATTCACATGAATTAAATGCTGTCAGAGAATAAGGCTAATGAGGCTAATGAGCTCCAAAACTTAGTTTTCTGCATCGAGGAGCTCCAAATTCATACACATTGATTTGTTCACAAAAACGTGACACCAAATTTTATTTTGAGTGGATCTCAAACACATCACCCTGCCTCCATGAATACTCATTGGAGCATGAAATGTGTATTAATCCACTGCTTAAAATAGTCTCGAACAAATGTTCTGTTTTACTCCTGCCTGAGAAACATTTCCTGTAAAAGCTAGAGAGCTCAGCTGTTCATGAAAGAGAAATAAAGACATGACCAGACCTCAAAAATTATAGACTAGGACTAACTAATTGTAAAAAATGTACTTAGGTCGGTGCTTTGTAAAGCCGACTCTGAGCCACAGCCCTGTTTTGGCTTGCACACACACACACACGCGCGCACACACACAAACATAGACGCATTTCTATCAGTGCAGGGTAATGAAAAATGACCGAATGCACAAAAATTGCTCGATTTTAGCCATGACTGATGTTAAACATCAATTTGATTCTTTCGATAATTCAACTGCATCTGTCTGTTAATTCACAGACTTGAGAAGTCTTTGTAAATTAAAGCAATATCAGTCTGTAATACGCCCATGTTTTTGACTCAGAATATGATAATGTATAATTAAGATTTAAAAAGTGATACCAGAACAGTTTTCAGGACAGCCCGTGGAGTTGTATTATATAAGCCAAACTTTTTCTGGGGCAGGTTAGCAATATTATGATAAAGTGAAATTAAAAGAAATGTCATGTTGTACTTAAAGAAAGACAGATTTACCTTCACTGATATAAAGATGTTTGTCTGGAGAACAAAGATGTAAAGATACTTCATGTTTGTGCAGGTGCAGCCTGCCCATTTCACCGTCCACGCCATTGTGACCTCCTCAGACCTGCAGTTTGACCACAGCGAGGTGGACTTTGGCTACTGTTCCATTTACCAGTCAGTCAAGAGCAGCATTCGCCTCACCAATCTGTCCCTCCTACCCCAAGACTTTGGCTTCTTGGGTGTGCCTGAGGTACTGCATGAATGATGTGAAAACCTTTTCTTCTATTAAGTGTTAATGTGTTAGTGAGGTAGAGTTGCGTGGATCCAGATACAAGCATTGCTATCTTTGCAGATAATGTTATGTTTATGGAAGAATCATATTTAGTCCACATCCCACTTTCACTGTTTGTTCCATTCCACAGGGTTCCTCCTATTGTTAAAATTTGTTAGGTTTGCATAAACAGTAACTTTATATAGCTCTTATAGTGTAAAGAGAGTGAACAGTAAACAGAGAGGCTGTTATCCTACATTGTTTCCTCGTAATCCCCCGTGCTTAAGAAGACAATGTGCATCCTGTGTTTGGATTGGCAGATTCTGCTGCCACCAATAAAAGCAACAACAGACGGAGGGATAATTACTTAATGTAAATGCTTTAAATGGCTACAGCAACCAGCATCAGAGTCTAAGTTAGATTTCATGAAAACATCCTGAGTTATAACTTTAAAGCTTTTGTTTTTTCTCTAAATCAAGTTTATTGAGGTTCAGCCCAATGATGGATTTGGTACTCTGCTCCCACAAGAAACCCTGGAGGTTGATCTGATTTTTAGTGCCCAAACTGCCAAAGAGTACGTCTTTCAGCTCAGCTGCAAGTCTGGAATTAACAGGTTAGTTTTAAATCCTACACTGTGTGTAAATGAAGGACATTTACTCTTTATGGCATCATTGTGTCTGCTTAAACATTCAGTCTTTTGTACTTATCTGTTGATAGGACATTTTAATCACTGCCTTTACTGAATGTTGTGATCCTGTTTATTCAATTAAATCCAATACCTACTGATCCATAGCAAAAACATTCATTTTGTCATCAGAGATTTTCTGCTGTCTTGCCGAGCAGTGGGTGTCCACCCACCACTGGAGCTCTCCCATTTTCTGGTTCAGTTTGGAGCCACAGCAGTAGGTGACCAGTCCACTGCCATGCTGTTCCTGAGCAACCGTCAAACGGGCCGTGACCAAAATAGACAACCAGTCTCTCCAGGGGTCAAGGCGCCTGTAATGCCCCGTTTGTTCTCCTTTGCCCTGCCAGAGGACTCAGACATCGACATCAGTCCGTCTGCAGGACGCCTTCTTCCTGGAGAGGTGCGGTATAACACGTCTTATTAAGCTTACACTTATGTTAAAGGAACACACCACCGGTTTTATACATAGAAGGTTGCTAGTGTGAAGAAGACTTCAGATTTATAACAGTTAGACAGTCTATTTAAATCTACTTAGTAGCTTATTCTAGCGTTAGCTGAAACTAATTATTAACTGAATAATTTCATGTTGTAATATCTGTAAAATAATACAATGTGGGCCATCTGTTTTTTTTGTCCTTACCACTTAAGAGTACACATCATCCAACTCCATCCATCCAAAATCTCACATCAGCCCCAAAAACAGATTAATCTCCTTCTGAATGCATTTATAAACCTGAATGGACAAGATAGTGTGGCCTTTTGTTTCTATAAAGAAATTAAACATTAGAGAAAGCGGTTAGTTTTTATTTACTACATCTTGGTTAAAAATGATCTTAATAAGCATAGAGCTAAGGAATCAAACCATCTGTGCTCAGAGGGAATTATAAGTGTAATGATGCTCTCTGCTGGACACCTGATGGAAGTGAACAAGCACTATTTATAGATATAAATGGGGGAAAAAAGCTCAATGAAAATCACTTCTATTGGTTCTGACAGTCTAATTTTAAGTCTTATTTTCCAGATGACCACTTACCTCCAGACTCCAGTATTTTTTTTATTTAAACTTTATTTTCCAAGCAAGATATTAAGAATAATATATTTACAGTGACAACTTCACAAGTGCTAGAAGGCACAGAGATCCAGGGTAATATATCAGTCCGCTTGAATTGTTACAAACCAGTAACCCCAAAACAGGACACTGCTGAAAGCTAATTTCAACCTTAATATGAAGCAGAGGTTTGAAGTTAAAAAGTGATATGGTGTAGGAACACTGTAGCGTGAAAGAAACACACAGAAATATCCTGTGTTATCCTCTAAATCTGAGCAATTTCAGACATATTACCGTCTCTCCTCTACCCCAGAGATGTCTTGTCCAGGTAACGTTCAAACCCAGACTGTTGGACCAGGAGATCAAAGAAGAGGCGCTCCGTCGTCTTCATCGAGCCAAGTTGCTCTATGAGAGTGAGCTCGAGGGAAACAGACTGGCTGAACAGGAGGTACAGCTTCACACCCACCTTCCCACTCCAGCCACTGTCCGCTTGTGCCAGGGTTTTTAAATGTGAACACATCTTAAGTGACTAAATGTTTGTTTTTTTTTACTTTCATAATCACACAGAACATTTTTTTTGCAAGATGTAGTCCCTTCAGTCATCTACCTTAGTATGAACCCATCACTCATGTTCATGTGCATTGTAAGGCAAAACTGGAGATCCCACTGGAACCTAGTAAGGGGAAAAAGGCGTCAGTGAATCCAAAAAACAGCAAGGTGTCCAATGAAGCAGAGAAAGGAAAGCAAAGTGAATCACCAGATCCTGGCAACATAGTACCAGGGTAGGTTTCTACAGATTATTTACTCAATCTAATCAAACAGATCCAGTTTGCTGGACTGCAAATAAAAAATGTTTCTCTAATTGCACTTCCTTTCAAAAGGCTAAATCTAATTAATACCTTCTGAGATCCAACAACACTAGAATATCAACTACTAACAAAACTTTTCTTTTTCTTTTTGTTGTTGTTGGTTTTTTCTTCTTATTCCAGTGACTAATTGATTTCAGCAGCATTCCCATTTCTTTTCATTCACGGTGATCACAAAATATATTCATTTACAAAATTCATGAACCACCCATCATTTCCTTACAAGGAGTCAGAATTTCTTGTAATTTTTTAAAGTGGACTTGAGCAGTAGTTCTCCAGGCTTTATGAAGGTCTTTCAAAGGTTGTCTACAGACTTTGGTTGGTTATTCACTCATTTTCTGTCCAGTCCAAAGGAATGCACTTGTGTTTGTTAAGCCACTTAACACTGACTTATGAATCATTCAAGGATAAAAAAGCCACTGAACCATTGTTGTGTCTACACAAAGGACTAGTTTTAAATTCTATCTTTAGGCACTTTGAGAGATGCATCTGGCCCTTCAGCTGATTCGTCTACTGTTCACCCAAACCTCATCAAAAATGGTCTCAGTGGAAGGTCCGCTGTCAAGATGTCATTCTTAAGGGAGGGAAACAGGGGGAATAGGTTGCACAAGAACTGCACTGAGAATCAGGGGCAACAGATCATATGGAGTGATAAATCCAAATTTTAAATTTTTAGTCCAAATATTCATCAGTATATATGAAGGACAACAGGAGAGCAGTACAACAGTAAGTGTCTACAGCCATCTGTAAAACATGGTGGAGGCTCCGTCATGATTTGGGGCTGCATTTTAGTCTGTGATGTTTGAGCTCTTGTCAAAAACACGCTGCCAATGGAGTAAAAGGATACACAGATAGAAAAACACACAATATAACATTATCAGTCATGGATTGGTCTCCCCAGAGCCCAGACCTCAAGCAGTGTGAAATGATCTTGACAGAGAACAGAACAAAAAGCAGCCAACATCCAAAGAAGAGCTTTGAATAATAATAATAATAATAATGCATTTTATTTGAGGGCACCTTTCAGAGGGGTTGAGGAGCTGTGGATAGATGGAAGGTCATGGACGGCAGATGAAAAAACAGCTGGGTTGATATTACTAATTTTCCTAAAAGTGATATTACGAGAGATACAGGTTTTGGAAGCGGTTATGTTTGCATCAAAAGAAATAAACATATGATCAGACTGGGGAAACAATGTGGCTTTACAATGGGTGAGGGTAATGCCAGAACAACAGACCAAATCCAGGATATGACCTTTAGAATGGGTAGGAAATTCTATGTACTGTAGAAGCCCAAAACATTCCAGGCAGGAGGTAAAATCTCTGAAAAGAGGGATTTTATCATTGTCCACATGAATATTGAAGTCACCAGCAATGATCAGATTTGGAGAAAGTACAGAGAAAAGAGTGAGAAGAGCAGAAAATTCATTTAAAAACTCCTTATTTGGCTTAAGGTGGCCGATAAACAGTACATATGATGGTGGGGGTAGATCCAGGGAGCTGTAGTGCAATGTATTCAAATGAATGGGAGGGAGGGGCAGAGACAGGGAGTAATTCCCAGTGCTTCCGGTGAATTATCGCGAGACCTCCGCCCTTCCCCGAGATGCGAGGTTGACAGGTGTAAACAAACTCAGACGGAGTGGAGTCATTGAGAGAAACAAAGTCATTGGGCTGTTGCCATGTTTCAGTCAAGCAAAGAAAGTCCAACTTACAATCACAGAGGAGATCATGGACCAGATGTCCCTTACCAGGGAGAGAGCGGATGTTTAATAGACCAAACTTGATGCTGGAGTAACCATGCCTGACAGTAGGCTTAGTTGATCTAGCCAGGTGGGCCAGCACACTGTGGTCAACAGCCCGGTCAGTCTTGCAGGGAGGACGACGAGTTTTTGACCAGATGGAAAATATTGAGTTAGTGTCACTGATGTTGAATCTCCTTCAAGCCTGGAGAACTATTCCTGAAGATACTTAAATAAACTACAAGGTTTCCTAAGAGAGTTCAGGCTGTGTTCAAGAATAAACGAAGGCATACCAACTATTGACTTTAAGGTTTGTTGGAATTGTACAAAAAAAGTGCTCGCAACAAGGAGTCTTTTTATATGTTTAATTGTTACTCTTTTCCTTTTAAGGTCAAGTTGGTACGAGGAGGCCAAGGCCTCTCTACTATACTCCTTCAGGAAACGTTATAGAGAGTACACCATTCCCTGCTTTGTGTCAGATGGAGACCCTCCAGAGGACGACAAACTAGTCCAGCCAGCATGGAGGTCAATAATCAGCTTCCATATACACGTGTACAGCACACTGTAGGCCCCGTCATGTTAAGTTTTTGTCATGTAGAGGTGGGCAGATCCATCCAAATATAGATATCAGATTGATACTAGTGCAATAGGATCGATTCTTTGTTTTTATCCTGTAAGTTCAGTATGTAGCCCACTGAAATGTCTTATGTGTTGTTTTTTTCTAATTAAATGACATACCACCTCTTCAAAAACCTAGTTTCAAAATGCATGAAAATGTTTAAAGTTGTGTTTATTTGTATTAACCATTTATTGTGAAAAGAAAAAATTATTTAGTGGTCATTAAAAAATTTGCAGATTGATGATGATTGGTCTCATACATCATCACACACTGGTCTCCACTATATAATTTGCCTTTATAGGTTAAAAGTATCAGTATCTGTGTTGGTATCAGCAATCCTGACCCCGGTATTTTACTTGGTATTAGATTCATACCTTATTTTGTATTATCAACAAACCTTCTATATACAACTGGCTATTGCATATAAGGAACACTTTTTAAGCTACCCACAATATCAAACGTCAACACCAGCCCTCGTTTCGTAGTGTCTCTGATTTAATATTTGTCAAGTTTGTGGTCACTTATTTTTTGTGTTGTGAGGGGTTTGATTCTGCTCCCCCCACCTGACTGCTTAAAATGACAACCATAACAACAGTTAGGCTCCCAGTTTACCTCTGTTTCTTCCTATTTCTGTGACGATGACATTACCTTGAGATAACTGTGTTTCCATGTGGAGTTTTTGATAAGTTGAATAACCAAAATTATTTGACATCTGACTTCAAGCACAAGACCTGACAAAATGTGGTTGTTGACCTGTGGAGCATTTACCACTTTTCTTTTTATACAAATAAGTGTGCGTAACTAAATGCCTCTAGAGTTTTAATAGTCTATTAAGGGAGCATGTATGTCCAAGAAATAGAAGATTTCTTTAGCTGGTATAAATCTCAGAAATAGTTCAAAAAAGGTGCATTTCAAAAAAGTTAATACTCCACTAAAAAAAAGTTTGCTAATGGCCCCATCTCAGTTTTCTAGGTTGGTTTTGTGCTAGAATAATTATATTACAAGAAGGTATTCAGCTTCTATGGTGAAGATCATATTACACTTCTACATCTCTTATGTCATTTAAGCTTCATTTTAATAAAAAAAACAAACAAACAACAACATATATGGATCTGCATTCATCAGATGTCCTTTACCTCCTCAGTCCCTTCAATACGCTCTACTTGAAGCTTCAGTGTCCTGCTGTACAACCCCCTCTAGTGGTGATATCCAACAATGGCTGCAATATCATAAACTTCCATCAGGTGACAGTGGGTGAGTCGTTTATAAAAAATGTATAGTTACATTAAAAACGCTTAAATAATGCTGGATTTTTATTCTTATCTACCTTGTTGTATTTGTGTCTTCCATTTGTAGGAGAAAGAGTGATTAAAAGGTTTACAGTTCAGAACATTTCACAGGAATCTTTGGATGTATCCTTTCTTTTTGTTTTTGTTTTTTACAAAACTATTGATTACCTTGCTGACAGCTTTAAACATTTGTGATACTCATGATATTCATAATACATATGTATGTGGTTTTTTCCCTTTTCTGAATTTATCTGTGTGAAGGATTTTTCAGTAATGTGTATTATGTGCACACTGTGTTGCTTTATACACAGCAGAATTCAGATATTTGGTGTTAAAGTTCCATTTTGACTTTCAGAACTAAATAATTGTGCATGAAAGAGTCAGGTCACCCAAATAAGACAAATAAAGCACATTTTCTTTGTTATCTCCAGAAGAATTTATCATCACAGACAGGTGGTGATTTGAGGATATCAAAATCTGGAGAAAGGTGCATTTTATGGCCCATCTCTCAAACTCTCAGACACCATGGTATCGCACTGATTACAAGGTTTATAGACTGTGGTCTGGAGAAAACTATTTATAGTGCGCACTGTGACATTTGCCAGCAGCATCATAAATGAAATTCTGTTCACCATCATTGCATTAGGATGGAAGCAGGCTGTTGGTGTGTCTCTGGGGTTGAAGATGCTAACTATTAATCTCAACATCCACATTTCTAGTCTGGCTTTGGGGCTTTTGTTTCACTTCATTTCCTGTCTTAGTTTCACCATAATTTCTGTTTGTCTCTACTTTCTGCTAGAGACAAACAGATCTTATTTAGCTCATGCTAAATAAAAAAGAAATTGCAAAAATCTGGAAAAGTCCTATCAGGGATGACATGTGAACAACAACAAGTTGAAGAAAAAGATGTTATGTGTTCAAATGGATCACCACCGATAGCACAGCTTATGCAAATACTTCACCACCAACACTCTACAGTGAAACCTGAGATTATTCCATCATTTCAGATGTACCTGGACATTTAATCCACTTCACCTTATGAATGGCAGCTCTTTACATGTTTTACTTTCATGTCCACAAATCAAAGATTACAAAAAACAAAATCAATGCACTGCTTCTACTACTATAATATTCACCGTAGCTTTTCTTTAACCCTTTATAAGCTGAGCTCGTCGGTGTTGGACATGTACAGTCCCTTTTCCCTGCTCAATGCTCTTAGATCCATAAGACCTGGAGAAAAACACACTCTGATTCTCGCCTTCAGTCCAACTTTGGAAAAAAAGGTGGGTTAACTATGTAAATATTATAATTTAGCTTTGAGTGACAAGCCGACCATCTGTGTTAATACACTGAGTCTTCTTTGTACCTGTTTATGTAAAATTAATCAAGTATAATGATGAACACACTCATCTAACCTGTACTGTTCCAGTGCTGTGACATGCTGGAGGTGCGGTGCCAGAAAATGACCCTGGAAATGACTCTTCTCGGGGAGGGAATAGTCCCTGCTGTCACCTCCTCCCACAATGGAGATGTTCTTGACTTTGGCTATGTGCTGGAGAAGGAGACTGCCTCACAAGTCGTGAAGGTGTGTGAAAGTTAATACGAACAAAAAAAAAAAAAAAAAAACTGTTGCTAGTTACTTTTGAATACTAATTTCTTAGTGGACTGAAAAAAACTCACTTGGTTAACTTTGATGTAATTTTATTTAAGTACATTAACTTAAACATATTTTATGATTCATGTAAACACTAAGTGGAACAAGTAAAAATGGTAAAAGGGGCCATTTTCATGTGTTAATCATAGTGAGGAGACTCACAGGTTTTATGGTTATAGTCATGGATGCGTTAGTATAACTCTGAGCCATATGAAAACACTCACAGCTAAAGCTGATGCTAAAAACGTGTTGGGTGTTTTCTATTTCTCTTTCAAATGGGTCGTTCCATATAGATCTCTCCTTAACCCTCCTCTACCTCCTTTTTCTCCTGGTCTCCCATCCCTTCTTTGCACTTCACTTCCTCTCAGATTGTTCCCGTATTTGTTGGACTATTTCATTTTCATCATCACGTCACCATTAAGAAAAACAAAGGCAGCACCATGCAAGATATTTTTAGACTACAGAGTAATGAGGGAAAAACAGCCTCGGTCACTGGCATTAAATCTCGTTCTCCCTGCAGTTGCAGAACAGCTCAGCGGTGGCAGTGAGCTTCAGGGTGATGCTCGCTAGTCTCTCTCCCTTCAGACCTCAGGGTGGAGCTGACCGGGTGGCCTTTCTGCTAGAAGAATATGCAAACTCCCATGTCCACCCTGCTGTGGGTAAGATTTGTTTGGAGCTCCAGAAGGGAAAACAGATTGCAGCTTGTATTTTTAACACTTTGTCCGTATTTCACTGCTCACGTAGACGTTTTTGTAGTATTTGACGTACACATACTACTAAACTTGACCTTAACTTGACTTTAATACAGTATTACCTACTAGAAGTATTGTATAAGAGAGCACAAGTGTGCACCAAATAGCCCAATAGTTTAAATTTCCACAGTTTCATAAATTAAAACTAGCAGTTTTTGCATAATCCCACTGACAGACAAACACATATGAAACTGTAATAATGCTGTAAATGTCAGAATATTTGCTTAAAAAAAACAGGAGGGTAATGTGCTCCAACAGTTCAATTCTTTCATACTGACCTAGCAACGTGTTTTCTGGCTTGTGCAGGGACTCAGAACTACAGTGGGTTGAGTGTGTTCAGTGTGGTGCCAGTAGAGGGCAGCATTCCTCCAGGGCAGAGCCAAGAATTCACGGTCACCTTTCAGCCTGACCACCCATCTGTCAACTACTCTGACAAACTCACCATAGAGCTCATGAATAAGGTCAGAGGGGCGCACACGTGTACAGATTTACACGCTCTTTCAGCTGTGAATGCATGCGTGCTCTCACCCTGTCCTTGTCCTCAATCACTGCTTATAAAAACTGATCGCATGGCCAAGGTTAAAACACTGTTCCTAATGCATTCATGTTATTTAGATGTCCTTACTGCAGCCTGGACGTCCTCTCTGGTCTTGATGATATAACAACCTTAACCCTGTGCCATTTCTGTCTCTCAGAGTAAAGTGTGTGTGATGGAGCTGAAGGGTGCAGCCTCTTCACATAGCATGTATCTGTGTGGCGGAGATCCGCTGACAGCGCCTGTTGAATCCCTGCTCCCTCCAGTCATAACCAGTGAACCTCAGCTCACAGGTGGCATGATTCAATTTCACTGTTTTCTCTCCAATATGCTCTTAAATACTGGGAAAATCTTACACTGACACTGTAAAGATGACTAATATCTTGCATACACTTTTTATGATTTACGCGAGCAAGGCCAGCGTATGTGATGAAGTAATTTATGCTAATCATAGCTTGCTGACAGCCCGTGCGCTTGTCACCAGCAGTCAGATCATATTTTACCACCGAATCCACGTGTGAAATAGTCGCACCTCCTCAGTGAGGTAGTAGTAAACTGTACTGAGTCCAAGAGGTGTTGGTGCATTCAAATGCTGCTCTGAACGCCTCTCACTGACACTGAGCAAAAATTGACTTGATGAAATGTGCATATTCTAAATGTCTTGAATAAGGAAGTAGCAATTTGCCATGGTGTAATTTATACAGTTTCATCGTTTCCAGCTATGTGTTTAAATAAAGGCTCTGTCCCCTCTCGTCTTCAGTCCTGTACGGGGAACAACGAACAAACTCTGAACCTGTGAGCGAAGACAACGAGCAGCTGTGTATTTTATAAGAAGCTTGGATAAATAATCTGGGGCCTGGCCATTTAGTGCTCTATATGTTGAAACAAGAATTTTAAAGCGAATTCTAAAATCTATTGGGAGCCAATGTAAAGAATATAAAATGGGAATAATGCGAGCACGCTCACACAGCATGTTTTTACTTTTTAAAGAGTGTAAGAGGTTTTATATTTTAAATTTTGTCATCTTTCTGTGCAGCAGAAATACAGTATGTGCCAAAAGTGTGTGAACTTGCAGTGTGGTTTCTTCGCTTTTTGCATATTTGTTACACTTAAATGTCACAGATTGATTTCAGCATCAGTCAAAGATAACCTGAGTAAATACAAAATGCAGTTTTTAAACAATGATTTAGGGAAACATTTTATCCAATCATACCTGGCCTTGTGTAAAAAAAAAAGTAATTGCCCCCTAAACCTTATAATTGGTTGTGCCACCTTTAGCAGCAAGAACTCCAATCAAGTGTTTGTGACAACTGATAGTGTATCTTATACATCGCTGTGGAGGAACTTTTATTGGAGGGTTTTTCAGCATGAGCGGCTTGTTTAAGTTCATACCAAAGGATCTCAACCTCAACCTGATTTAAGTCCAGATATGCAAAACTTTAATTTTGTTTAGTTTTTTTTAACCACACAGAGGTGATTCAAGACAGAAAAGTTTATGAGTTAATTCTCCCTGATGGCTGTGTGATCATTAAAGAGATGTAAGAAAATCCATGACTTGTAGTTAAAGAACTAAAGCCTCCAAAATGCCTCTCTTTAGCAGAGTCAGAGGTGACGGAGAGCCCCACCATTCCTGTGTTGGTGACCCTGAAGGCCAGGTGTAGCTCGGGTGCCATCACGCCTGCAGTCAGGGAGCTGCAAGTGGGCTGTATCCGCTCCACACAAACCAGTAAGAAGGTAACGTGCTGATGTTCAAGAATCCTGAAGCTTGCAGAAACAAAACCGACTGCTGCCACAGGTTTCATTGTTTAACACGGGGATTGAATTTACATTAGCACAGCATTCACTATCATGGTTTAAAGAGACATTTCTGTTTTTACCAGGGTGGTGAGTTTTACTGGGATAATGTGGCATCCCTGCAGCAGCAGGGCTTTAATGTGGAGCCGAGCAAAGGCAATGTGGACACAGGCCAGCGACGCACCATCAGGATCACATGGACACCCCACACTGGATACAAAGTAAGGAAGTGCTGATTTTGGTCTTTGGTTGTCTTTGGTGATCTGTGTTGCTGTTGATCACAAAAAAAAGTCATAAAAGTTGACTTCCAAGGAACTCAATATGTAGTTGAATAGTACAGCAAAGTTAAAGCATGGTTGTGAAAAATGAGTTCCAAAATGTGGAAGGAATATTGTTGATTTCAGCACGAGAAAAAAGTGTTATTTAAGACTTTCAGCAGAATTAGGTTTAAAATGTCTTCCTGTGTGAAACACGTGTATATACTTGTATGTATATACTGTCTGACAACATGTTTACGTCTGTGTGTTTCAGCCTTATGAGGTGGTGCAGATGTGCGTGCCTCTCACTTTAAAGGGCGACAGGATGAATGTTTACAGAGTCACCCTGATGGCTTTGGTCTCCACGACCGCCGATTGACCTCTAAAGGACTTGGATGATGGCCAGCAGGAATTCTGCTCACACATACTCTGACTAACCACAAATACACATATTCTGTGTGTGTGCAGAGCCAGCATTAACAAATAATGAGATCATTAAAGGTTTTGTTTGAACATTAACTTGAGCGATTTCATTTTGCGTTGAAATAGATGTAGAGGACTGAACCAGTATTGACTAGATTATTGCAATTTCCACTTTCAAATGTTGTCATATTAGAAAATAAAAACACAGTTCTCAGTTTTTTGTTAAGTTTTTGTGTTAAGAATCTCATATAACTTCCAAAAATAGAACGTCTAATAAAATATAGACATAAAAAAAGAAGGTACACCGCCCTCTTCCAAGGTTTTACATATTAGAGCATATTAATAATCATCTGTTTCTTAGTAGGTCTTAAAATGGGGTAAATACAAACAGCAGATGACACATTGTACTTCACACATATTCATTATTTATTAGCACAGCTTTGCAAAACTACATCTGAACAACCACAAGACTTGTGACCCTTGGCACCTTTCAGTCGTAAACTCCTGTCTATATACAGAAAATTACAGAATATCTAATATAATATTTAAGGTTGTATTTTTTACTCACATTTCATGACTAATTTTGACAGACAAGCTAACAATCAAAAAAGGAACAGAAGTTGTTTTGAAAACTTTAACTGTTTCTTCAAACCTATCAAAAACAAAGTGCAATAGAGCATAAAATGTTGCAGAGATATACTGTATCTAAACTATTGCTTTACACCTGAGTGTACACCTGTTTTCACCACTAGGGGGTGTATGTAACACGAAGTAAGCAGCTGTGTTAAAACCAACATGGTAAAGGGTGTGTCAGCAGATGTAAGCCAGCAGATGTTCAGTAACACTGCTGGTATTACACCCATGAAGTGAAAGGAGGCCAAGTTCACACCGAGGTCACACAAGGAGCATATTAGGGAAAGTGGATCTAAATGGGCACACATTAATACATATGAATGATAAAATAGGATGAAAATGATACTAAGAACTGGGCATGTGAACAGTACTTGAAGAGTTAACTGATTAACAGTGGTTGTAACAATAAAAGTGAATGTAGCATTGCTATTATTTGCCAAGTGTATATAGAGGCATCAATCCAAAAATACACGATAAGATGAAAAGTGTTCTCTCAATCATCCAAATCATTGAGTTCAGGTGCTCTATGGTCACAGGTGTATAAAATCAAGCACCCAGACATGCAGACTGCTTCTACAAACATTGGTGAAAGAATCAGTCACTCTCAGGAGCTCAGTGAACTCCAGCATGATGACACTGATAGGATGCTGCCTGTGCTGCATCCTATCCAGTCATGAAATTTCCTCGATATTAAATATTCCACAATCAACTTTTAGTGGTATCATAACAACGTGGAAGTGATTGAGAACACCATCTCAGCCATGAATTGGTAGTGGGGTCAGTGGATACTGAGGCTCATAGTGTGCAAAGATCGTCAGCTTTCTGCAGTCAGTCAGTACAGACCTCCAAACTTAATGTGGCCTTCAGAGTAGCTCAAAAGCAGTGCACACAGAATGTGATTTCATGACTGATCAGCTCCTGCCTTATATCACCACACCAAGACATTTGTTGCTACTGTTACCGCACAACTTTGCGGTAACAGTTTGGGGATGGCCCTTCCTGTTCCAACATGGCTGTGCACCAGTGCACAAAAGCATGGTCCATGAAGACATGGATGAGCGAGTTTGGTGTGGAAGTACTTGACTGGCCTTCACCCAACCCCACAGATCACCTTTAGGATCAATTAAACCTTGTGGAAAGCCTTCCCAAAAAAATTGAAGCTGTAATAGCTGCAAAGGGCGCAGATATTTATATATGCAACAGAATATCAAATATAAATATATTAGATGGTGGGTTTTGTCAATTTTGAGGCACAAAATTAAAACATGTCATGATAAAAAAGAATGTAGACCGAAGAAAACCTGAATCTTCGACCAACTTTAAACTTAATGACAGGCGGTTCTATTTTCTGGAAGAGGAAGAGCAAGTAAACTCATTTTGCATCTCCTTTATCAGGATGGCTGGTCAGTCAAAGACGATCAGATTACAGGTTTGATTTACTGCAGAGCACCAACTCCCACCAGCTCTTCTAATACAATAACATCTTCATGCAGTTAAATTGTCAATGTTTAAGTCGGCTCTTTGGCAATGTGTTTTAAACATTTATCCACCAACAGTGTATCAAATACTTGTAGCCAAATATTTTAACCGTTCATTCATTATTTTTTGGAAATTGTCCAAGTAATTATCCATCTTAATAGTAATATGTGTCTTTGTGCGGGTGAATGCCGTGCCTGAGCACACAAGTAATAATATCAGTGTTGATATTAGTGCACTAGCTATGATTTGCTCACCGATTCTTTAATTATTAAATGCTGTGTATATTTCAGACCTAATCCATAGCAGGTGCCTGGTTTGTCCTGCGGCTAGGCTAGTAGATCGCACAAACCCTGCAAACATTTTCTCCACTTTAGACTTCACAGACTTCATTTGTGAAATATACACGAACACTCACTGTATGCATCCACGGGATTTCAAAATCAGTGCTAGTTGAGACGCAGGTAAACGGGCTCAGTGCAGTATGAATTATCAACACTCACATCGGTCAGTTGCTCTGTTACAGTCAAATCAAGCTCTCTCTTGATAAACTACACAGGATGTTGTACAGTGTGAAGTGCAGGCCCTTTGTATGTGAACAGCAGATGTCAGTAATGCCTCACAGTGGACCAATAGGATTTGCCCTCTCTGAGAGATACATGCTGTAAGCATTTATCAGAGATTGTAAGAGATTATGCTAAATCAGATTACTGTACCCCAACCTGCCTATAAAAAGCAAGGTCATTATGAGCTTAGTCTCATGTAATGTCACCCGTTTTATGAAATGCGTGAGATTATATTAGGCAATATTTGTGTTGTTATTTTGCCTCTTTTTCTAATCTGATTTCTCCTATGATCTCTTGTTAATACTGTGGGATAGTGCTACTTACAGTCCCTGCTCTGCTAACGGGTGGAGTTCATGTGTCCCTCTTTGTCTGTTAATGAATGTGACTTTTTGTTTTTAATCAAATCAGAAGCAGGACAGATCACTCTGTCCTTAATTACAATTTAGACTACATTAAAACACCACAGAAGTTATTTGTAACCACTTCAACAAGTGTTTCTAATGGGCTTTAAAGGCAAATTCATGCCTTCATAATACACTAAAATGTCTATTATTTGTCAATCCTTGCACTTATCAGCACTGTTTACCATGTCCAATTTATCCCAATTAAATTAGAATTAGTTTTGAAACAGAAAGCACATCCAGCTTTGGACTGTTCGCCTCATCAAAGGCTGAATGCAGACAATAAGCTTTCTCCCCTGGGTGCTCTGAAGCACTACTAAAGAAGCTTCACAACACATATATGCAGAGACAGGCAGGGGTGTATCCAGGGGCAACTAAATCTCAGCAGCATTAACTTGGGTAGATGAGTCCCAGTGGAATCCCACACCCTGAACACTACCTGACAGACAGTCCTCTTTGCCAATGCGTTTTATTACATAAAAAGAAATCTAAATGAAGATATCAAATCCATAACCTTAAGATAACAATTAATACCAATATCGCCCTTTTGTACACCTATGAACTTGAAGGAAAGCTTTTGGTGGGTTTTAAATCACATCTCTATACAATACTGCATGGTTACTTTGGTGAAATTGTGAAATTAATGTGTGCTCAGAGAGCAGAAAGTGTACACACAGAACAGCAGGCCTGTCCCGCCACCACAGGTTTTAGGGTTTACAAAAGTGAGATGGAATCAAATACACACACTAGTGGAAATTCACATTTTTAAATTTACAGATTTTTTTAATAGACACAACTACTCTTATAACATTTCTAACGCCATCAGCTCATTCATACAAAAGAGTCTGTTTTTATGTAAAAGTATACATCAGTGTTTCAGAATGAATGTGACACATGCACACATTTGTCCAGCTCACATTTTAATTAAACTGAATTTAAACTGAACTTAATGTGCATTTGAAAAGACAGCACTAAACAGATCTGGCACAAACAGAGAGAGTAGCTCTCTCTAGGGAACATTTCTCTTACAAGCCAAGTAACAGTGGCTGTTGTCTTCCCCTGTCGGACCGAGCCCGTGCACACTTTGTTGTCTCAGAGGACGACAAAGTGTTCCACGTCTCCAAGTAACACCTTAACCCGCTGAGCATTAACCCCCTCTTCTGAGCACTCTACCTAGACTACTGGTGATAACGATCAAGTCATCTCTGTGCTGCAGTGATGGCCCACCCATAAGCACTGAGCAGAAAGCAAACCCCCAATGATTTCAGTTTATATAATTGTGGTGAAGTTAATACCCAGAGAATATAATTTGTCAACAAGATTTTTTCCAGGACCAGCTTATACTAACCATAAGACATTACTGATAGATCAGCAGAAGAGAACATATTACTTGATACTTAGTTTTTGTTAAACACACAAAAAAAATACAGGGTCAAATGTACATGTTAAACATATATAAACATCAGATGTTGGTGTAGCAAAATCGTGATATGTACTTAGTCACGCACGCTAGCAGGAAAGTAAACATAACATTTGCCTGTTTTGGATTGCAAATGAAAGCGTGTTGTTCATTTGAAACACTAGCTGCTTTACTGGCATGAAGGTCAGATTTCAATGGAATTTGATAACATTTTCATATTGCAAATACATGACACTTTTGGATATGCATCCGGTCTAATAAAATGCCAGGGGCACATTTATTTGAACTTTTTACATTGCTCATTGTGTATAACAACATAGCAGTGAATACAATAGTCACTTATGTTATTGCTAAAATGTATCCATTAATTTGTGGTCAGTTTTCAGTATAAAGCAACTAATAATCTGTACAAGTTTGTATTCCAAAGTGACAGATCCTCTGGTACAAGCATGGCCTGGCGTGTAGTTGGTTGTTCGCCCTGCCAGATAAACACTGCTGTATTGCTGTTAATGCCTAATCGCCTTAAGTTAGCATTTACGTTATTACCAGTAAGACCAGTAAGTATAAATGCAATCCATTATTATTATAAGTGTAACTGGT